TTCAAAAAAAGTGTCAAAAAATTTCGTCTTTTAAGTAAAGTAGGTCAAAAACAATTTCGTCTTCAAATTTTAATTTCATATTCTGAAACCTAAAATAATTTTGTCGGCATGTATAGTACAGACCAAGTGTTAATTTTCTTTTTGGCCTGGCCAACCGGTGGACAGACTTCAGTATATGAGTGTAATTGATCTGGTAATTCATATAAACAGGAATATGTATATAGTTGTCGTATACAGTTAATATTTTTAGGTTGTTGATTTAGGCTTAAAGTATCAAAAGTTTGATTATCAGATTGTTGAGTAGAATTAGAGTTGTTGGAGTATAGAAAGGTTAGTTGTTGTTGTTTCTTCCAATTGGCAAAGTTTGTGCAGTAAGGTTTCCATACTTGTTTATATAATTGTTCATTAATTTTAAGGAGTAGATTGATTATAATATTTGATGCTGTTTTATAAGAAATATTATAGTCTTGAATAGTTTGAATTAGAGATCGGGGAATCAAACCTTTGAGAGTAGGCTCTATATGAAATGAATATGGTTGAGGTGCTATATTATAGAATGCTTCATATTTGTAAATCTTTTAAATTAAATTATCTAGTTCATTATTAGATATATTAAGTTCAACTGAGTGAAGATAATTTGTAGTAGTGGATATAATTAGTTGGTGAAGTAAAGAAGGGTTAATACAAGTACGCCAATAGGATGGAGAATCAAGAGAGTTGCAGTGAAAACAGTTGTCACTGTGAAAAGTTTTGGAATATAGTGTGTGATAAAGTGAATATGTAGGCAACTCATTAAGTAATGCTTTAATTTTAAAGGACTTGAGCTGATTAAGTTTGAAATTGGTAAGATTGTATGTGGGTTTGTAATTATGATTAAAGTAGAACCATGTAGATCGCCAACCAATTTGTTGGTTAAGTGAGGACCATTCGTTATTTCGTTCTTGATATGACCATATAGCTAGGATGTGGGCTTTACAAATAGTTTTGATAAAGTATCTGGTGGAGTATTCAACTAGATATAGTTCCTCTTCCAATTGCAAGATGTGATATAGATTGTAGGTATTAGTGTGATTAAAGTCTAGTAATGTTTGAAAGGTGTGTTGTTTAGCTAGTGAATCAGCTAAATTATTAAAAATATTGTTAGTATGAGCCTGAACTTTATGAAAAATAATATGTAATTTGAAGAATTGGATTAGATTAAGGAGTATATGCCATAGGGGCCATACATTAAATTTGAGAAGTTTGTTGGATTAATTATTAAGGAGCTAAGCTTAGTATATTTAGAAATGATAAATTGGGAATCTGTGTAAATGTTAATAAAAGAGTTGCGAAGGGTGGTTGAAATAGCAGATAGGATAGATAGAAGTTCAGCTTTGTAGGAGGTTGGCTATAAACGTGTCTTGGCAGAGAATTTGTGAATTATTTGATTGTTATTGTCTATTTGGACCCAGCCTATACCTATAGAGCACTGGTTAGTACCTATATCAATAACTGAGCTGTCAGTATAGAAGTTAAAGATGTTTTGAGTAGAATCAGATAATAAAATTTCGATTAATTGATTTGTTTTATTACTAGAATAGAAAATTTCAGATGCAGCAGAGGAGTAAATAGGAATAAATAGTAATTAGGAAGGTATTAGATATTTAACAGCTGCAGAAAAAATAAGGTCCATATAATTAGCGTTAAATTTGAGTTATGTAATTGGTATTCTGATGTTGAAGGGCAGTTAATGGAGTAGTATAGGATGAAGATGTTAAGCGAACATTATTTGTATGCTTGAGATTTCAATATTTTCTAAGAATTGATCTTTATCAACAGTCTAAATTAAATAATATAAAAAAATTATTTTTTCTTTATATAAAATACTTAATGTTTTAGTATATATACAGATTCTTCAAGGGTTTCATTTGATGTTAAATAAGTAGAAACCCATGAGGATGATTGTATAGTATTGCTCATTCCAGCAGATAGATCTTAATTTATTAAAGAGAAATATAGATTATAGGAATTAACAATTTATTTTATTTTTTTTACCTGTTTTTTTTTCTTACCATGATAAGATAAACGAATTCTCTTATTACACTTTTCAATATCCCCTATTGAGAGAATGAATCGATTAGTTTTATACACTTTTATATCATGTGATATTACATATATACATACAATTATTATTAATTATTCTTTGCATCATTCGTCTAATAGCCCAATCACAAGCAGTAGGAGGAAACCTTGGATTCCTGCATTTGAACTAAATAAAAAATTTATTTAATTATTTAAAAGCAATTAAAAAGAGCAATTGAAATTAAATTATATTTGCCCTTTTAATAAATTTGCTTTTTTTATTCTCTGGTATTCTTCAAAACTCAGGAATTTCTTTTCCATATTTAGCCGTCACAATTAAATGAAGTGATTCCTAAAATGGCTGTTAACAAAATAAAATAATAATAAAAAAGACTACAGTAATAATAACAATAATTTTGCTACCCAATAACTATTGTACATAGCTTTGTCCAGCTGAAGAACTTTGGAAATATCAATATACAATGTATCACATAGTTTTTCAATTAGAACTAACTTTTTTGCAAAACAATTTCTTTGTGAATTATACAGTATAATAATGATATCAGTTAAAGATTAAGGAATATATATATATGATAGAAACCTTATCGCTAGTGCTTTCCGATTCTGAACTAGATATATCTTTATTTTTTTTTGTGATTTTTCTTTTTTTTAGTATTTTTGTTTCTTCTTTTTTTGGATGCATCATTATCAGTATCATCAGAATTGGCATCGAATTTTTGATTTTTTGTCTTCTTGTTATGGGCAGTCTGAAGCTTTTCCAAAGTTTCCAATCTTTTAAGCAAAGCTGAAATTTCATTATTTGTTAAAAAGTCTTCATTATCAGTATCCAAATCTTGCTTATTTCTGTTGACTTCAACATTTGTCACAGACTGGTTGGAGCTTTCTTTGTTACTTGCATTATTGGCTTTTCGTTTACCCTTTTTTAATTGTTTGTTTTTATTGGCCTCTTTGTTACTTGCGTTGGCTTTTCATTTAGCCTTATTCAGTTGTTTCTTTTTATAACCCATTTGTAGTAATAATTTATTTAATTGTAATGACTATAAAAGGCAACAATTTATTTATTTTATATAAAAAGTATATTATACAATGCGATATTCAATTATTATCCGACATGTCCTATGTGTACACTGAACGTTTTTTGTATATTTTATTCGATCACTTACTAATCATGTGATAACTCAATTTTTGATCACTTCATATTTAAAATATACAATTTTCGGCCATGTTTATAAAACAAAGCTAAGTGTTTATTAATTTGCAATTAATAATAAATCAGTTACATTTAAAGATCTAATTAATTTTCAAATCTATTTTTAGATCGTAACTTTGTGAAGTGGCACTAGAAGGAAGTTGAATAATGATATTATTAACTGCAGATAATGGTTTTCCAAGTTTTCTATAAGAAGCTAATAACGGTGAATTAGAAAGACAAGGAGGCTTAAAAGGTGCTATCACAGAAGAAGAAGGATGAGTTTGAGTACAGGATTTTAATTTAGAAAGTCTTGAGGCCTTCACTTTATTTGGATTTTGAATTTGGGGTGAAACTTGATTTGCCATATGTACTTCAGTTGCTTGTGCCGTAGGATCTTCAGTTGTTTGTGCTGTAGGAACTTGGGTTGCTTGTGCTTCAAAAATTCGGATCGCTTGTACTTTAGTAATTTGGGTCACTTGTGTTTTAGGAATTTGGGTCACTTGAGCTTCAGGAATTTGGGTCGTTTGTGCTTCAGGAATTTGGAACGTTTGTAATTCAGGAAATTCAATTTCGTAATCTAAAAAAAATTAAAAATGTATAAGTTGTGGTATATTTTAAAATTGTAATAATTTAATAAAAATTTTTAAATTTGAAGTATTTTAAAAATTATCATTATGTATGAATTACCTTGTTCTACATTATCAGCATTTTCTTCAAACATGCCTTCAGAAAAATCATACTCATCTAAATCTAATTCATTTGAAGAAAAAGGAATTAACTGTGCTGTATTTAAAATACATTGATCGTCACTAAGTTTACAATAATCAGCTAGGCTTTCACGTGATTGATGCCCAGAAAATGACTGTAAATCAGAATCTGAAAGCCCATTATTTTTTAGTAATTGGATTGCAGTACCACGGCATGAATGGTTTGTAATTTTTCGTCTATTACTGAAATCAATACCCGTATGTGTTGCAATATCGTTCATCATTTTTCTCAACTTTCCATAACCCATAGAAGTACTTTTGTACCAGCGCCCTTTTAGAAGATCTTTAATAAAAATAGTTAAATTAATTATCCAAATTAATTTTTTTTATATGCAGTATTACATAATATATATACCTTTTTTAGATCTATAAGTTTCATGAAAAAAAGAATCTACCAATACCGAATCAGGCACTTTTGACAAATAGAGAAGAATATCAGTTACTGGAGTATATTCATTATTGGCTGAATCTGGTAGTATGGGAATACGTTATGAACTTGTTTTTCCATACTTATGTCAGTAAAAAACACCTCCTTGGTTGTTTTTTTCTTTATGTAATACAAGCTCCAATCCTCTATCATGGCGACGTTCAAGATCCTTTTTGCAAATTTTATATGCATCACCACCTCGTAGTCCGCACAATAAACACAACCAAAAGAAGACCCTATGCAAAAGCGATTCACTTGTATTAATATCTATATATGAATGGTCAAGTATCTGTTTAATTTCTACTAATGATAACCTATCAGATTGTTTTGTATCTCCTAATCCCTTATTTTGTAAGATACGCATTTTTTCATTTAAGGTTTGAAGAGTACAGGGAAATCGGTATCAATCAAAGATCTTTATTGGTTGAAGAATACTATGGTCTCTAAGATATCTATTGATTGCACTATAACAATTGTAGACAGATTCGACTTTATAATCAGAACCATCATCTTTTTTCAACCATATTATAAATTAGCAAAGATAAGTTTCAAGTTCTTCAACAGAATTGATTAATTCAATAGATTTGGATATTCCACAACTTTTATTAAACCAATCTAAAGCACAAAGCCAAAGGGAGGTATTTCGTTCAGTGTTTGAAACAAGTGATACTTTTTGTAACTGGTTAATTTCTTCTTGTGTAGGAAGTTGTGAAGCTTGAATAGAACTCATATTAGCAAAGGTATTTATAAAAAGAATAAAAAAGTGTGAGTAGAAGTGAAAACGAATATTAAGTAAAAGTAAAAAAAGTAAACAATGAGTAAAAGTGAGTTAAATGATTAGTAAGTGATTAATATATACGAAAAAAAACAGTGCTTACGTCAGACATTACGAATAAAAATGTTATCAGTTAAGTTGCAGCCGATAAATCTAATTATCGTTGGGATTTATAATGTGGAGCACATGCCACTTCGTGGCACGTGCTCCGCATTATATCCTGATGATAATTAGTTATCGTCTACAACCTAACCAATAACAAATACGTAATGGTACTTTATGATGACACAAATAATAAAGTATATTCAATTAGTAATAATGAAATGTTTTTTTTTTTTTATATAGTCAAGGTTAGCCTCTTTGGCTTGTTGCTTTTATTAGATATTAGGATCATATGGTGCTCTTATCAAAGGGGCCCCAGACAAGTACATTCTGATGAAGATACATTCTAGCCATATCTGCACCTTTTGAGTGCCTAATTAAATATACTACCTATGTACTAGGTGCTACACTAGATGCTGTACCTGTAACCCACTATTACTTGAGCTATCCAATTAAACCCTCTGATCTGAGTTTCCTATATCAATCCATCTAACCTCACCCAGAACATGCGATACATAAGTCAGTCCAAGTTCTGAGATCGTCACGTCCACCTATAGAACTACCGGCATGGTTAACCAATTCATCCTTGAGTGCATCACCTGCTAAAGCAGTCTGGTACCCACTATTCCTGTATTACCTAGTCTTCTTCGGTAACTTACGCCTGGGCCTAGACCAAGTACTTGCGAGCTGAAGCTACTACTGTTACCTACTACTGCCCTTATGGGCTGTGACCTGCCCCTGGTCCTCACGATTGGGTCCTTTTTCCTCTAGTTACTCTTCCGGCGGCCTGGTTGGTGGAGTGTCTTGCCGAACACTTTGGTCCTGTTCAGTTTATCCGGTTCACCAGGTAATAATCTGCATGTAGTACCGTTGAAGATCTGTGCTACTTCTCTTCTCGGAACTTCCCAAGCGATCGCCCCACTGCCGTATTAGCTCTGTGGCTTTTTACGATTCCGAAGGACTTATCTTGGGTTTGCACTGACTAAACCGGCTTGCATGCCTTTGTGTAACTCCTTTATTTTACAAATGCCACAGAATCTTCTAATTTTTATCTTGGTATGACCACGTTTACAGAGTCTCAAGTTTTCTCAGCCACAACAATAGTTGCCGAATCCGTTTTTCTAAATTCAATTTTTTGCCTTCCGTGGGAATTGAACTTATACTCTACCACTTGGGGATGTAACAACTTCACCACTTCACTAAGTTGCTACACCCTGTAATAATGAAATTTTAGTATAAGTTTATTCATTCAATTCAATGAAAAAGTTTTTAAAAAAAAATTAATTTTTTTTTTTTATTTTTTTTATAAATTTTTTTAAAATTAATTAATGTGATGTCTGAGACGCAGGTTTGGTGTACTTGTCAAACATGTTCATTGAATGAATACAATGGATCCTTAGTATTGAAAAGTGCCAGAGTTTAGCATCACCAATGTGATAGATGAAACGATCGAAGTTCTAGTAATGATTCGATGCTTCAAGATAATATTCAGAGTCCAATTATAAATACATCTCTATGTGTTTTTGATCAAGACCTTGAGAATGTCTTAGAAAGGAATAATGAATCTGATAATTGTAGAGATAATGAGCTTAACAACAATTTAGAAAGTGATAATAAATTTACAGACTGGCTAAGTCATAATGAATTTGAAAATTGCTTGGAAAGTGATAATGAATTTATAAATAGATTAGAGTGTAGTAATGATTTTGTAGATGGGTTAGAAAGTTATAACA